GCAAGTAACACGCAAGATTGACGGAAGATTGTCATTGGATAATTTTATAATGGCAGCCTGTCAGTAGAAATGCGCACAAGGGTTGAAATACGCGAGCAGTGCGCACAAAAATAAACAAAAGGAAATAGGATAGCAGATCATTTAAGACTTTAAGAAATTGATTGCTATGATCAAATACAAATAAAAAGAGACGTTTTATTTCGAAAAGAGATTGCGTGATTTTGGCTTTCACTACCAAAATATAACTATTAACTACGTGATAATGAAGAAAAATACGTGAAGAATATTTAAAACAAATAAAAAAGTCATTCGAAAATAAAATGTAAAGAGAAGATTTTTAGTTAAGATTTAAATAGCCAAAGCATGAAGGGAAAATGGAATGGCATGGTGTAGAAAAAAAAAACAAACAAAAACAATTTAGAATGTATGATCGAAGTAGTAAAACATGAAGGAGAAAAACAATGAAGAAAATGCTAAAAATATATATATATATATATATATATATATATATATATATATATATATATAAAGAAAATAAAGAGAACCTTTGAAGAATAAGAATAAAAAATGTTTTTTGGAAAAGGGGAGACGGGGGAGCTGGGAAGAGTGAAAATTGAAGATGGAGATGTGATGGTGAGGGGCAAAGTTTTTTTAAAAAAAGAAATAAGACAAAGAGAAATGAAATTTCTAAATAATTAAGTTTTATTTTTAATCCAATATATTTGTATTATTTCAAGCGTTATTTTAGTGGCTACCCGTATTTGAATAGAACGACCTCTTTTTTGAAAAGTGAATATTTCATCTACTGGCCTTCGCATTCTAGAAAACTTTATAAAGAAAACATGCTCTCCTGAAAGACTCGAAACTCCGTCCCACTTCGTTGGATGAACCACCATCTAGTCCGGCCTAATTTTGACCACTTGGCAAGGAAAAGCATCATAGCTAATTAACGTTAGACTTGTCTTAAAGCGACATCTCCACTTTCACTTTCACTTTCAACATTATTCTCGAAACCTACATGTATTCAGTTTTGTATCTGAAATGTAAAGAAAACAATTACTAAATATTTCGAGGGGCGAATTTTTGTCTTTGTTAAGTTCATATGCGAACTTAAGTACAAAGTGTTTTTGAAAGTTCGTGTATTACGTCTATGACTTTGATTAAAATGAGAATGTCGACTATATATCAAAGGTAAATAGAGTGTTATTTTGTGGTATTGAGTTCATTATTTTCTAAATTAGTCATGTAAACATTGCTAATTGTTGGCTCAAGTCCGGAACACATAGAGACATCATCGCATTGTACGTGTATGTTGTTTTTGTGCTTGTAAATAGGAACTTCTGTGGTGCAACTCAAGAGTAATTGTTTAAAAATTTAGGTAGAATTTTAAAGGAGGGAGTGATGGATTCTAGTAGATATTCTTTTATGATTATATATATATATATATATATATATATATATATATATATATATATATATTATTAAATCTTCTCTTTACATTTTATTTCCGAATGCTTTATATATATATATATATATATATATATATTGTTTCACTGACTGAGACGTTGGTAAATAAGTTTCAGCTTCTAGTGAGGCTAAAGAGTCATTATTTTTTTGTTTAAAATTTGGCGTAGTTCGTGTTTTGACTTTATCCTCTATTTATTTGAAATGTAAGGAGTAATTACTTGATTAATAACATTGGTTAACTGGTGAACAAGATTGGGGATTTTCGATAAGAAAGGTCGGAGGGGGCCAACAAAATCCCGTTCTTTGATGTATACCGACAGTAAGAATAATGATACTATTGCTACATCTCTTTAAAAAAAACAACTATTATAAACACATGTACTTTTAACTACAAAACTGAATGTCCTAACATTTAGAAATAGCTACAGTGAGGTGAAACAAGTATTTGGACAGTAAAAGAAAATGGACTTAGAATCATATATTGAAAGTAAAGCATTGTCTAAAGCTCACAAAATATTCGTAAAACAATTAACAATGTAAATAAACAGCAAAAATAAATTATTTGATACGTATATATGTTTTATATACAAATTATTAAAACAGGTAGTGAAAAAAGTATTTGGACAGAATATAAATTATGCTTTAAATGTGTTTAATATTTAGTTGGTCGTCTTTCATTTGCAACCACATCTCTCAGTCTGTTCCTGTAGCTCTCTACAAGCGTCTGGCATGATTTGGTATGGGATTTTAGCCCACTCTTCTTCTGCAAAAATTTTCAATTCACTGAGGTTCTTTGGTCACCTTTCACGAATCTGATTCTTCAGTGTTCCCCAAAGATTCTCTATTGGATTCATGTCTGGCGATTGGCTGGGCCATGTCAACACGTTGATGGTATTGTTTTGAAGCCATGCACGCGTTGCTTTGGCTGTATGTTTTGCATCATTGTCCTGTTGAAAAACCCAATCTGGTCCAAGTTCTATTTTATCAACTGATGACTGCCAGCAGTCTTATAAAATCTGAATATATTTGGCTGCATTCATTTCGCCCTCAATAATTTTCAGTTGTGTCGTACCATTATATGCAAAGCATCCCCAATCCATAATGCTACCGCCTCCGTGCTTCACAGTGAGGATGGTGTTCTTTTGATTGAAGGCTGTTCCATCCTTTCTCCAAACATGGGTAGCATCGTTGTGGCTATAATTTTCAATCTTGCTTTCATCAGACCATAAAATTTGCTTATAATAATCATCATGCTTTTGTAAATTAGTTTTGGCAAATTCAAGTCTGGATTTTAAATGACGTTTTTTTAGTAATGGGGTTTTGCGAGGAGAGCGAGATTTGAATTGTTGTCGGTGAAGTTCAGAACTTATGCTCCTCTTGCATAAGTGAGTTTCTGCATTGCTGAGATCTTTTTGAAGTTATCTACGAGTCACAAAAGGGTCATTTTTTACTCGCCGTACTATTTTCCGTGAACATTTTGTGATATTTTGCGCGGTGCATCTGTTCTTGGCATATTTTCATGAGTACCGAAGGCTTTCCGTTTCTTAATTATGTACCCAACAGTGCTCACATGTAAACATAGGTCTTTAGAAATCTTACGATAGCATTTTTTCTTTATGTGCAGAAATAATTCGATCTTTAAGATCTTTCGACAGCTCTCTTTGCTTTGGCATCCTGCAGTACTGTTAGTGCGATGTCTTGCGATGAACTGACCATCAAGGTAGCTAACACCTTCAAGAAAGGCACGTTCTAGACTATTCCATAAAATTCTAACACATTCGAGCATGAAATATACTCAAAACATTAATTTTAAACATAACGTCGGAACTGTCCAAATACTTTTTCACTACCTGTTTTAATAATTTTTATATAAAATATATATACGTGTCAAATATATTATTTTTGCTGTTTATTTGCATTTATAATTGTTTTACGAATATATTATGAGCTTTAGACAATGCTTTTCTTTCCATATATGATTCTAAGTGCATTTTCTTTTACTGTCCAAATACTTGTTTCCACTCACTGTATTATACGACACTTAATAAACCATGCAAAATTAAATTCTTCAAAAACATTTTCAACAATGAATTAAAAAATATTAAACCTCATTAATAATGAATTCCTTAATTACATTGTTAATGAACAAATTAGACAAAGTATTATAAATATTAACATAAATAAAAATGAATACAATACATGATCAAATAACAGTAAAATGTCAAATTACTACATCGTAATCAAATGCATTCCACCTATTAAGATGAAGAAGAAATCCTAAAAAATCTCATAAACAATAATTTATCTCCAACTGATCCAATTAAAAAAAAATTAATCATATTCTATACTAAATTTAATACAACCAACCTAGCTGTCCAAAACAACTCTTCTCTGCCAATTAGCATCTTGCAAAAGGCTAACATTATATATCATTCTAAATGTCCTTTAGGAGACTGTATCTCGGATAAAAATGCCAATACGTACATTAGCTTTACTATGACTAACAAAAAGACTTACAATTCATTTAGATGAATATAGCTCAAGACATCCTGCACTTAAAGAAATACTCATGCAAAGACTCACAGATTTGACGCTATTACTTGAAAATACATTTATATTACATAAAAACAATAACAAGTAAATCCTAAAAATCCTTGAAGTCCTTTATATAAGAGAGTTAAAGCCCAAAATAAAGTCAACTATGAATATAGCAACAAAGTCCTTAAATGCTTATGAAAGAAAAAAGATTACTATATACGTATGAGAAAATACAAAAAAATTTACTCCCCTTACACTGAAAAAAAAAACAAAAAACGAAAGAACACATGAATTTTGAAATCTGAAATCCACAACACTGTTTCATCAGTAAAAAAAAAAAAATTTAAAAAAAGAAGAATTGAAATGTTTAAAATTCACAGAAACACATAAAAACAATTAAATCCCCCGAAGATGGTCTCAGATGAGATTGAAAGTACTTGGGAAAATAAAAACTATTCGAAAGAAAATTTTGGTATTTTTTTTTACTCAAGTTTCTAAATCTATCAAAAAATTAATTTGCGTACTTTAAAGATCAGAACGTAGTCTGGGGCCATTTTCTCTGACATAAAAAAACCCCACAAAGCCGTCTTGTGACATTAACATCGTTTATTCCCAAATTACAAGCATACACTGACATACACCTATGTTTACTAAACGTTTACGGTGACCAAACAATCGACGTGAGACAAGCTGGATATTTTTTTAGAGCAATGACGTAAAGGTGGTGCGTAAGTAAGCACGTTCTGGGCTATCGTTGCAACGTTGTAAGCCTACCAACGAAGATCATTTTAATCGCTCATAAAAAGAGTTGAAGTTACTAATAACTCAGGAAAAACAGCGTTTATGGCGGAAAACCTGCGCTATCTAACGGTTTTATTTTTCCCTGGATTTTTAGTAGTGAAAATAAATAGTAACAATTACTTTTGGAGCATAAAATATATGTATGTATACGGATAGATATATAGGTAGAAATAAATAGATAAAAAGATATAAACAACTTTAGATAGATAGATAGATAGATAGATAGATAGATGAGAGAATAGAAATATATGATAGATGAAATACTGTAAATATAGATAGATAGATATATAGATAGATGAAATACTGTAGGTACAGATAGATAGATAGAATAGATAGATAAAAAGATAGATAAAAACAATTGATACATATATAGATTAAAAAACTGTGGGTATAGATTGATACATAGATAGATAGATAGATAGATTAAATACTGATAGATAGATAGATAGATAGATAGATAGATAGATAGATTAAATACTGTAGGTGTAGATGATAGATAGATAGATAGATAGATATATAGATAGATAGATGAAATATTGTAGGGATAGATGATAGATAGATAGATAGATAGATAGATAGATAGATGTTGGTTAAATTCTACATTTTCAAAATGGTTCCCTGTACAGGAAAAACACGCTCATTAGTGAAAGCGTGCTACTTATCTATTTGTCGTATGACAGAACCACATATTTAATCCAGAGGCCAAATTTAAGCTTAGGTCATGCCAAAGTGATAATCCCTTCTAGTCAATTCATTCTTTCCTGTTGTCTAATTAAACGTTGCCTACGCGTAACAACTGGTTATCCCTAAGAAGATCTCACCTTAGCGACTCTCCAAATCACCTCTACCCTGTACTTAGTCCTGTTCATCATGTGTTGTTGGAATTAAGGAAGAAAGGAGCAGAGAGGACAGGTTCCTATTGTTAACGTAAATGTTGACCCTCGTCACTCATTAGCGGCAGTTTGAGGCTTTGATTTGTAAATCCCTTTCGCTACTAGATCAGCGATTTACTGAGCTTTCCATCAATTCGAAAAAGGGAAAATATTGATCCCTTGCAGAAGTACGAATCCGTTTATGCAGGATTACAATACTAATGAATCATTATTAATTTCTTTCTGTTTCTCTGGTTTTCATCATCGTGTTTATTTCATTTTCTTTCAAACGGCCTAATTACTTTTACTCGAATTCCATTCATATGCATATTTAGTTTTTGAATTTGCAGCGAATTTTCAAATTATGATTATTGTTTTATCATTAGAATTAAATTTGTATACATTTTATAGTTTAGTTTCCATTGGTTCGTTTTCTAGGACTTCTCAACCCTTTGCAGGTTATTTAAAGCCAGAAAATATTTTTACATTGTTAGATATAGCAATAGTTTAGGGATATAAGTTTTACTAATTAACCCATAGTTGGGAGAAAAGAAGGAGACTGATAACTTTCCCAAAGTTATTTGTGCATAAGGGAATATAACAAACCCAATTAGGATTGGAACTCGGTTTTTAGATTAACATTAATTTTTCTCCACGTGATAAGACGTTGCGGAACAATTTATCGTGGGATTATTCTCTCCAATTAATTATTATCTATCTATACTGCTTACCCTCATAATCCACACGCCCTACCACACACCACATTCATCAAAATAACTGTAGTATTAGCAGATATATATATATATATATATATATATATATATATATATATATATATATATGAGGAAGTGAGTTTAAATAAATAATACGAGGTAAATTTTAAATTGATAATTAAATTTAAATTGAAATATATTACGCTTTAATTATCATTATTGATGATAAAATTATTTAAATTGGAATAACCTTTGATAATTAGGTATCTAAAAACAGTCACGAATTTAATTTATGAACAAAAATCAAACGAATACATGTCAACTTAACAATCTATAAGAGAAAAGTTTAGAAAAATAAAAAAGATTACTAGATATAAAATGGATTATTCTTTCAATGTACTCTCTATGAATTTTTTTCCAATCGACTATTTCATAGAAGATACCAAAAACTCCAACAAACTTTAAATTAAATTCTTCGTAGATTTTTTAGACATTTAGATTTATATCAAACTTTAACTCCCAAATATACCCTTTAAAGTAATGCGAAATAACAGCATCCAAGAATTTGAGTGAAAACTGCTCTCATTGACATGATTTATTGTTTTATTTTTGCAGTATCTTCTCCCTTTTAAATCGGATAAATAATTTATCTCCCACTGATCCAAGTAAAAAAATAAAATAAAATTAATCATATTCTATACTAAATTTAATACAACCAACCTAGCTGTCCAAAACAACTCTTCTCTGCCAATTAGCATCTTGCAAAAGGCTAACATTATATATCATTCTAAATGTCCTTTAAGAGACTGGATCTCGGATAAAAATGTCAATACGTACATTGGCTTTCCTATGACTAACAAAAAGACTTACAATTCATTTGGATGAATATAGCTCAATACATCCTGCACTTAAAGAAATACTCACAGACTCACAGATTAGACGGTATTACTTGAAAATACATTTATATTGCATAAAAACAAGTAAAACCCCAAAATTCTTGAAGTATTAATAAAGACATTACATTTGGTATGAGAGGTGGATATGATAAACGTGTTGATGGGAGATGTCTTTCTATCCCTGTGTAACTGCGTGTTCCCGTTAGCCTGTATATGTATATCCCCACCTCATATATACATAGTGTTTTATAATAAGGAATCAGCATACAAATATATGTATATAGGCGTTCTGGATTGAAAATCAACCAGAAATACTACATTTCAAATTCACATAAATGAACATAACAGTTTGTTAATATGCAAAAGCCACCTCACAAACATATGAAACTCAATACACGTAAAGATAAAAATATATATACAGGATTAATATGTATATATACTAACTTAATCCACTCTCTACATGAGCTCATATGCAACATCGAAACAAATCATTAATTCCTATAAATAATATATTTAACGAAACATTATTTTGCATGAAGAGGGTCACAAAACCCGAAACCCGTGTAGTGAAATATGCACATAAAATATGAAAAAAATCTACATAATAATCAAAAACGCTTGTGGCCTTTTCTCTCTTTCTAATATACCACTTTTCGCTAATGGGAACAGCAATAATTTATTCTTAATACATACACACACACACACACACACACACACATATATATATATATATATATATATATATATATATATATATATATATATATATAGGGAAGAGAACAGTTGTTCCAACGAGAGAAAAGTGTATGTTTTAAAATGATAAACCGCAAAAGTTTTGTATATATTTGAAGACATTTGTATCACTATAACACGCAAAACATTCATATTTTATAATATGTGTAAATATCTACTCTTTGCTTGAAGAAGGTCGCGAAAACAGAAACTCGTGTAGCAGAGTTATGGAAAATAGAGTATAATATACATTTTAAAATAAAACAAAATACATATTTCAACCCAAAACGTTTTCGGTTTATCTTCTTATTAATATATATATATATATATATATATATATATATATATATATATATATATATATATATACTAGCAGCATGGTCCAGTGCTTGATTCAAAATTCGTACGACAAAATACAGCAATCGCTATCACTTGACTTAAAATATTTTGCCCTTCCTATCTTTTAAAGGAGTGCCTTTTTCCGTGCTGATGTTGATACATGCCTTACTTCTCACACTGCGATTTTTTTCTAAGCTCTATACTAAACATTAAATCTGCTACGAAAAAAGAACTAAACAAAATGAACACAAAACGATAAGCTTTAAAAAAGGACTCGTAACTGGAAGAACCGAATGAAAAAAGAATGTTAACAACAAATACTTTTTCACACTCAAACCAGTTCTGCGGAATCAGAATCAACGTTGAGTTTAAGCCAGTCAATTGGAGTAAAGTGCCATGCAGATTTAAATTTTTCCCACTTGTGACGAATGCAGCTATCGATTTTTTTTTTTTGCATGCTAGCATGCTAGTTTACATTCGTGTCAGTCAGTTGTTGGCTCTCACGCTGGCCAAAAAGAATCTTCTTGCCTATTCGTTGCAGCCAGCTAGAAAATGGCCGCAAACTACATGAAAAGTGCCGTAGAAGCATGAAAAAATCGATTATTTCCACTATTGATGGGAGTTAGGAAATGCAATGTCAGTCTTGGGCTTTCCGCTGACTTAGAGAATGGGCATATAAATTTTGGTGCAAATTCGTCGAAATCTGCGGCCGTGCATTCGTTACACACACACACAATCTGATTTATATATATATATATATATATATATATATATATATATATATATATATATATATATATATATATATATATACGTTAATGTTTGAATTCGTAAAATGAATAAAATATTAAACATTCTGTGGGTTCATTTCTAAATTCGAAAGACGTTAAATTAAATATAACACATTATAACATTAAAACAATTATATTTAAACTGTAATCAAAATCCACATCTGACGTTTTCATGCTGTAACAACTGATGTCAATAAGATATATATTTTATCTGTTTGACGATAATCTTTAATATTATTTTGTTAATATTATTATAATCTATCTATCTATCTATCTATCTATCTATCTATCTATCTATCTGTTCGCTTCGTCCTGTTAAGCGTACCGGGCCTGGTAGACACAAACAAGGAAAATTACCTTTTTGATGGAAGACATACTCTGAAGGTATAAAAAAAAATGAAGAAAATACTTTCAATATATATTCCGAAATGTTCGCCAGGGAATTTTGAAAACATGGCGATGTGCCCATTAATTGACACTCTCTAAACTTGATATAATCATATAATAGAACCGAGAATAAAATTTTTGAGAGTATTGAATCTGACCAGACATTGATATTGCCTGGAGAATGAGGGGTTACTGTCAACGATATTACGCATGATATTGCTAAATTCCCAGCGATAATCACTCGACATGATGCGCGCAATGGAATACAAAAAAGTAATTCTTCTCTTCTATTTATCTGATTTAATTTAATTATTCATTCATTTAATGTTATGTTGGTCTGTAAAAACGATGCTGTCTCTCCCATGAGGCAAATAACACTGTTGAATGTTGAATCTAAATCTGGTTCTACAGAAAGATGCTTCAATTGGAATGACACATGCTTTAAATGACGCATTTCCACGATATGAATGACACATAAGATTACCAACTGCTTCATCAGCCATTGAAAAAGCTAAATAATTAGATACGCTAAGGATTTATAGTTAGACGAACCTTCATATATGATTAAATTTTGGTTATAGACAAATATAGAGATTCTTTTTCATAATCAAACATTGGGATATCGAAACATGCGTTCTAAGACCTACGCAAAATACTAAGAAACAGAATAAATTTTGATAGAATGAAAGAAGAGAGTTTTGAACTGTAATGTAATATCAATCTTCTATAGGAATACTGCATAATTTTCTCACAGTGAGTGAGTGATGACATGTAGTAATCTAAATCTGGTTCTACAGAAAGATGCTGAACATGTAATGCATGGTGCATGTTATCAACACAGAAGTTTTAAAGAAACTTGATATTGTATTAAAAAGACTGAGAAAAGTAGGTTTTGCTAATTTAACACTGAAAGGGCGCAGTGAAGGCAAGATTAAACAAAGGGAAGCAGCAAATAAGCTTCATGGATTTTATTATAAGTTAGTACACGGAGTAGAAACACGTGTCAAGAATCTATAGAATATAATATATACATATATATAAATTGCCGGCCTCTCGTATTCGACGATACCTGTCTACTAGGGCAGCTAGCCAATCCCTAATGCAGATGATCGCTCAGGTACATGTGTGTTTGTTAAACACCCACAGTAGCCATAGTGGTTCATACTGCAACTATGCTGATCAGATCTTAGTTACAGTTTCTGGAAGATAGCGTTTTATCTAGCGTGATCAACTAAATGAACAAGGCCAGCACACTCAACCCCTCGGTCACGATGACTTGTAACTTTGTGCTAGCACAGCTATCGACGGTCCCCAAATTGTCCCCTCTACCAAATTTCACTCACAAAAATTCGATAAATGAGTGGTATGTTTTTCAGGCACTTTCCAAATGAATCGTACCTTCAGACTAATAACATGACGAAGTCTTCTGCCTGACAAATCAGGTATGGTGAGATTCGAACTCTGTTTTTATGGTCAGAAAGTGAAGGTTCTAACCACTCAGCAATATATATATATATATATATATATATATATGTGTGTGTGTGTGTGTGTGGGAGAGAGAGAGAGAGAGAGATAGAAGTTTTTCATATACATCTCACACGGGTAAAAATATAATACAGAATTTGAAAATGTAACTAGACTTTTAAAGAATATTTATTTAGACTAATTTTTACCTGTTTCGCAGTTCTATGATTTTCAAAATTTAAAGTGAGATGGAGAGAAGTATGGCTATGCGTGGTATGTCTCGCATCTAAATAAATGTGGAGAATTACTTTCGTTTTAAGCGAAAATAGTAACTCCGATTAGTATCTGGGCAAAATGCAGTCTAGTTGGATGATTATGATCACGGATCACACATTGTAAGTTTTGCGTCAATACACACACACACACACACACACACACGCATACGCATACACACACACATACACACGCGTGCGATGTATAAATTGTCGCGTAAATTAATCAAAAATGAAAATAATTCTGATGTCTCATTTTAACAGGTACATTTACCAAAATTACAATCAAATATCTTGAAATACTAAAGAGTAAATTTATTCCATAAAATAGCCATTGCTTTCAACCACGGCCTCCCGACAACTTCGGAATCTCCTGCAATTCTTCTGGGGGGTCTCCTTCTTTAAGTTGGTGAATGCTGCTATAATCCTTGCCTTCAGTTCTTCTTTGTTATTTTTTTCGTCTCTCGGTCAACTGCGCCCCACACATAATAATCAACTAGTTTGCAGAGTCTTGTTACCAGGCATTGGGTATTCCAGCAGCCACGCTTTTGGCCCTGGGCAGCACTATCTCTTCTATAGACTTGATGTAAGACTCCGTGACGAGTCTTGTGGCCAGGTGCGAAGATGACTGGAGGCATAATATCACGATCACTAGTGACTACTCCAAACACCTTCGTAATCATAATTAGACTAATCCAGAACACTACGAGTCCTCATTTTCAGATTGCTATTTGTCTGAAATTAAGTACATATCTATTATCGAATATATGAATTCAAAGACTACGATAGCGGATAAAAAAAGCAGGATATTTGAGATTTGTTGAAATGAAGATGATGTTACCACTCTGATCATTTTAGTCGCACTAACATATTTCAATGATGCCTGAAGATTATTTTAGATAATAGCACAAATAAAATTGCTGAACATTTCACGAAGCAGCCCGTTAGATTCGAAACATTATTGGTCACCCGATATTTCTGTAATGAAGTCAAAATGAACAAGTACGAAATGAAAGTAATGAAACCAAACCTCAAAATCTTATCACACTTGACAGATTTTTCTACTACGCAGATTTTTGGAATTGCTTACGATGTAATTTTTTTCTGCATGCTTGCTGCAACATGTGATTAAAAACTATTTCATACCCCGGTAGCTTTTCTTTTCCTTTGTGCTATTTAATCTTCAGGCGGGGAGGTTTGTTTGGAGTAAAAACAAACACAAAAACGTATTAAAATAACAATTCTAGCCGACGATAACTTTGCATTAAAATAACGTAGAATTAAAAAGAAAATGCTATTTATTCATCTGTAATAATGGAATTTCGGACGAACAGTGGCAAAATAACTATTGATTGTACCTCTTGCGGCTATGATATTATTCAGTTTAGAATAAAAGTAGCTGTCCGTATTTTGGACTCACGTATTTTGCATTTATTGAGCTTCTTAAAATATTTAATTAATACAAACTCCTCAAGGAATAATTTCAAACGTTATTATTGTTACGTGCGTAAGGAAATATTTTTTTGTGTGTGTAAGTGTGGATCGTATTTCGCGCTTATGTGTGCATATGTGTTTTTCGGTCATCATAGTACTTTGTGTTTGCTTCATTTCATTGAGTTAAATTCACTTCCTTTCTGTGTATGTGAGATTCGAAATATGCATTCTGGCATTATTGAGAATTTGCGCATGCGTAATTGTGTTGTTCGGTATTATTTCTGTTGTACTATTTAATTTATTTTCTTTATTTCTCTCTGCTTTTGCGTTTGTATGGCAGTTTTGAATCTAATTATGTAACAGATATATTTACGAATGGACGTATATTTAATTCATACCGAAGTGAATTTTATAAACTTCTATATTTATTTAAATATATCTGCAACTTTGTGTATGTATACGCGTTTGTAAATATCAAGTTTGTAATATACAGAGGGGGTTGAATCACACTAGTTTAGCTGGTCTTACTGTTTGGTTTAAAGAACAGACGTTTTAGCGTAAATTAGAAAAGACAAAGGAGTCTGTTTGTCCAGAATGATGGTGATAATTCATCATTTTAAAAATGATCTTATCATCAGTGATGGCAGAAAGAAGGATATTTCATCATCCTAACCCTGATTATTTAAAAAAAAAAAACGGCCATTCCACCACAAAAGAATCAGTAAAGAAAAATATAGACTAGGGTACCTGTAGCAGTAGTCAGTGATGAGTAGACAAGTAGCAGTACAGAAACACACGTATAGCCAGCGCTCCGTGAAGGTCGATTTCAAACACAATACTCACAAACGAATTTCTCGGAACCAATCCAAGTAATCACTGGCATTTTAACAAAAGAGACACCGAGAAAATTTTTATACATTTTTATCTATGTCAATACGAGTTTTAAGTTGTTATTGTTGTATGTTTTATGCATTTTAATTTCCGTTATTAATATCAACCCCGTTACAGGAGGAAAGACAATAAATTAATACTTACCCTGTCATGCGCTAGCGAATCAAATCGTTACTTAGTTTCACAAGTTTCTTTTATTTTTATCCTTAGTTGTTATGAGGACCATTTAGTTCTTCGGCGCTTCATTCAAAACGATCATATGTTTTTATTTTAATTGTTATTATATCAATATTCATTTTTAAAAAGGTAACCTCTACCAGGATTCATTATTAACGGTCACAATATTAACAACATTAAGCATGAAGATGTTACAGTGTAGCAGAAGGAAACTGTAGGATCTCCTAGAGTTTGTAATAAAGGAAACGAGAAGAAACGACTAAACATCAACACTAAGAAGATATAATGTATAATTGTCAGAAAAAGTATCAGCCCAGCAAACGAATTACTAACTGGCGATACTAAAATTAAACAAGTTTTTTAAAAATAAATATCCAAGAAGTGTTTTAAATGTGACACCGATATCCGCTCGTACATTGGGATAGCGAAATGCGTCTTCAAAATATAAGCAAAGTATTAAGAAACAGGAAAATATTATTAGAAAAAAAGTACTGGACTGTGATGTAATATCGGTTCTCCTATATGTCAGTAAGTTCTGGACGATGTCCTTATCGAGGGAGACGAAACTGAATGCCACAAAAATGGCTTTCCACATAAATATGCTTAGAATATAATGGACCGAAAACGTGAACAACGACTGAAGAAAATAGAAACAAAAAGACGCTTATACGTGGCATCTGAAAGAAACAATGGACATTACTAGAGAACGTTATTAGAAAAGTGTGTTTGGAAATTTGGCCAATCACTGGACACATTGAAAGCTAAAGGGACAGAGGAAAACCTGCAGAAGGAGCGTGCGTAAATGGATTAGGAAAGACAGCAAAAGAACAAACTTTACTAAGGTCTACAAAGGGCAGAAAATTGCAGTGAGTCATGATTGCTCACTTACTAAAGAGACACGGTTCATCAAACAGGAAGTCATAGGAT